AGGGATGCCAGGGCCACAGTGAGAAGGGTCAGAGGTTGCTCACCTGCAAAGCTGTGTGGGCTCCCGGGTCCAAAATTCTCCAGAGCAGATCCAGCTGCTGCTGCTGGAATTCCTCCTCACAGTTCACCACATGTATGATGCTGCAGCAGCTACCTAGGCCCTCAGCCTGCAGCAGAGCACAGCAGGGAGCTCAAATGATAGGTATTGCCTGGCAGAAGGGAATAACACCTGGGAAGTGAGAGGCAGGCAATGCCACAGGGTCACTCACCAGGCACTGCTGAACAACTTGCTGCAACTCAGCCAGGGACCTCAGCATCCCCTCTGTCACTGAAAGATGGAAGGATACAGATTGGGATATGAGGGTTTGCCACCCCCTGCCATCCCATACCAGTGGGTCTCCCCCAGGCTCAAACTAGACTGAAGGGGAGTGAGAAGGGAAGGAAATTTGTGTACACAGCCCCCTTATTTTCAGTAAAAAACAACTGAAAAGAAAGGAAACGGGCCTGTTTGCACCCATTCACCCCCCACTGCCACACCTGAGCTGCTCTACACGTGAAGCTCACCGAGAAGCACATCCAGGTTGGGGTCATAGCCCACCAAACCCTGCTGCTCCACGAAGCTCTTCAGGTGCACTTTACCGATGACACCCTCGGGCAGCGCAGCCGTGCCTGACCCCTGCTCACAGGCTGTGACACAGGGGGCCCGGGCCAGCGCTGCCTTCAAGGCCGAGATAGCCTCAGGGAGGGACGAGCCACCGGAGCCGGAGGGCCAGTCGATGCGGAGCTGCCGCAGGACCTCCGAGCTGCCCTCCTGGGCGAGGGCCGGGACCAGGCGCACGCCGACCCTGCGGGAGAGGGCGAGGCAGGCGCTGTCAGCGGCGGGCCTGGGGCGCGGGCAGGGCGGGACGGGGACACTCACTCACCCCTGGGCGCGCAGCAGCTGTGCCAGGTGGTCGGCGAGCAGGGCCGGGCGGAGATGGCGCGGCCGCAGAACGGCGGGGCCGCGCAGGGCCGGACAGTGCAGCACCACGGGGCCCTCCCGCGCCCCCGCCGCGGGGGCGGCCGGACCGGGCAGGGGGCCCAACAGGCGCTGAAAGGCCTCGGGGCGCCGCACCTGCACCTCCAGCCCCGCCGGCGTGTCCCGGCAGCCCCGCAGCGGCAACACCGCCGGGCCCCGCAGCGCCGGCACCGCCGACATGGCCTCGGGAGGCACCTGCGGGCAGGGCGGGGGTGGGGCGGGCGGGGCGTGAGGCAACAGCCCCGCCCCGTCCACATCCCCAGGGCCCGCCCCGCCCCCCGCCGGTAGGTCCCGCCCCCTCCCAGCCGTTCTCCCGGGCCTACCTGCCCGCCGGGAAAGGCGGCGCCCAGCGCGGCCCGCGGCGCTAGGAAGTCCCGGTGCCGCAGGTTGCGGGCGCCGCTCTCCTTCACCCAGAGCGCGCCGGGCCGCCCCAGTGCCCCGTTCAGCGCCCGCAGCGTCGCCGCCACCCCCGGCCGGCCCTCTCCCGCCTCCATGAGGGAGAGGCCGACGCTCGCGCGTGGCTCACCGGAAGTGACATCACAGCCCCCGCGCCCTCTCTTTTCCCACTGCATGGTGGCCGCCATGTTGGTCAAGGGCATGAGGGCCGGACCGAGCGGCCATGTTGGGGGCGGCCATGTTGGGGGAGCGGTGCGGGGCCGCCATGATTGGTGTGGCGGGGGCGGCAGCCGCCATGATGAGAGTGGCGGGCCGGGGCCGAGCCGGGCAGGGAGGAGGGGCAGCGCTGCTTTCGGGCTCTGCTGCGCCCCACACGGTGCGGGGGTCTCTGCCCCGCACAGGCTCACCCCAGCACGGCCATGGTGCCACTCTGAGGTGCTGAGGAAGGAGTGGTGCCCCCTCCTCTCCAGGTTGGAGCAGCTCCCCGGTCCCCAACACTGGGGCGTGGGGTGAGCCCAGAACTGAAAGCGAGCCAGAAGACATGCAGCGGTCAGACAGGCACAGGCTGTCCCTTGGCTGTCCCCGGGCTGCTGAGGACAGTGAGAGGCCCTGGGAGAGGGTCTGGCAGCCTGGACAGTGACGGGCAAGACGGGGGTTTGGATGGGCTGCAGGATGTTTGTCAGACTGCATCTGTGGGCACCGTGTCCCTGGCAGACCATGCCTCACTGGTGCAGCCTGGCACTGCAGGCCCCAGGGCTTGGCTGGGCTGTGACACGGTGGCCAAGCAGCACCAGCAGCACCTGCCAGGTGCAGTGTCTCACCACAGTGGGCTCTGCCATGTCCCCAAGCCTCCCCAGCAGGAAGGACAGGCACAAGGAGCTGCTCTCCCACCCAGCACATGAGCAGCATCCTGCTTATCAGCCCCAGGAGGAAGGAGGTGGAAATGATTACATCGCACCCTCGTGGTCTTGATTTCATCTGCAGAGCTGAGGGGCTCCATGGCAGCAGTGGTTCAAGCACAGATCTGGCGGTCAAGGGCTCATGGTGCTGCCCAGCTCCCCAGACTGCATGGTGGGGGCTACTGAACTGAGGACAGGGCAAGGGCCCAGCGTATCCCCAGCCCCTTAGCACCAAGCCTGGTTGCTGGGGCAGTGATCCAGGAAGCACCGAACCCTGGCACAACACAGCACAACAGAGCACGCATCCCAGGAGCTGGGGACCTCCCTCCCTGCCCTGCCCTTCCTGCCCTCTCCGTGAGGCTGGGGCAGGCGGGAAGCTCTGCCCACAAGGCCCAAACCGGTTCCTCCAGGCTTGTGTGCAAGGAGGAAGGGGGGGGGGGGAAGCAGGGCAAGGGCAGATCCTGCTGCGTGGGCTCTGCCAGGAATGCAGTAACTCATTCTGGGGCCCTGCAGGCAGCTCTAGTGCCCCACAGCCAGTGAGAATCCCCAGCCTGGGGCAGGAGTGGGGACATGTCCCCCCAGCAGTGCAGGGCCATGCCATGGTGGGGTGCTCCCTGCACCACCCACAGCCAAGAGGTGATCTGAGAATCACTGCTCACACCAGACCAACTGCTGACTGTCCGCAGGGCAGGAGCCACCCGGGACCCCTGCCCAGCTGGCTGGGGGGACATGCCAGACCTCAAGTCACCATTAACGGTGGGGTCCAGGCTGGATCCATCCCCATGCCCAGAGTGTCCCCCCAGCAGGCCCACGTGGGCCCTGGCAACACAGCAGCCTTGGGAGGGCTCTCGGAGGCGCCGAAAGAGCTTTGGACAGACACGACATCCCCGATGGCTCTGGCTGCCGGCTCAGCGGGAGTGATCGTGTCATTCCAAAGCTGTCTCTCTCTGGGGGACAGATCCTGCCCACCCCTGCTGGCACTGGGGGGCTCTGGGGGGTGCCATGGAGAGCTGGCACGGGCAGGAAGCTTGGCAGTGTCTCACAGCCTGCACCGCGCACAGTGCAGGTGCCCACATCCACCCTGCGGCCAACAGCCACACTTCTCCGGTGGAGAGTCCCCAGGAAGCCAGCTGCTATTCTTAGCTGTTGGGGGCACAAGACCACTGGAGAGCCCCCAGCCCAGTGGAGGGGGCTGAGTCTTGAGGATGGGCACCAGTGATCCCCCATCCCGATACCTCCCTTCTCCCAGTGCAGCTCCACACACTGCCCCAGCCCCAGCAGGGGTTGGAGTGGGGCAGCAGCCCTTGCCCAGTGCCCGGCCCGGCGGGCAGGGGTGTGAGGCAGGTGAGGTGGGGGCAGGAGCGCGGGTAACGAAACCCCAGGGCAGCTGGGCACAGCGGGGACAGCTGCTTTTGGGATTCCGTTGCCCGCGCCAGCGCCGCGGAGGGAGATGGGCAGGGACACCACTGCCACGCCACCCCGACCCTCGGGCCGTCGGTGGGATAAAGAAGGGAGAAGACGACTTACCGGCGGGGACGGGGGCGGAGGAGCTGCGAGAGAGCCGCTGCCGGGTCGCTGTGGCCGGCTACCCCCGCGCCGCGGGCCGAGTGCCAAGGGGAGGGCGGCACGGCCGAGCCGAAAGGAAACGGCTCCGAACAAAGCCCCGATGGGGCTGGAGCAACTGGTGCCAGCCCGGCAGCCACCGACGGAGCCCGGAAACACGAGCCGTCCCCGAGGGAGGGCACCTGCCCAGGCACCTGCGCCCGGCGGCGGCACCGGCAAAGCACCGGCACGGCCCCGCCAGCGCCTTCCCGGCCCCAGCGAGGAGCCCTCGGCACCCGCCATGGGGGGAAGTGAAACCGCGTGGGGAACCCCACCGGCCCCACGCGGAGCTCACGCGGTGCCGCCCGCGGGGGGGACTCCTGACGCCTCCGGCACGGCATGGCACGGCACGGCGGTGGGAAATGCCCCGCCGACACTGCCGGGGAGCCTCCCGGTGAGCCCCAGAGTGTCAGGCTCCGGCTGGTCCCGGGTGGGTGACAGAGGTGAGGGACATGGGTCCCCCTCCCCAGGGCACCCCCGAGCCCGCAGTGCCACCGGCTCCACTAAGCGGATAGCGCCAAGCGGCACCGGGAGATCCTGGGGGCGGCTCGGGGGTTCAGCCCCGACTGGCAGCAGCCGCCCGCAGTGGGGCACACAGCGGGGCCGGGGCGCCGTGCCGAGCCTGGGGCAGCTCCGGGGCACCGGCGCGGCCGGGCCGGGAGCGCAGCCGAGCCCCGGTGTCGCTCCCTCCCGCCGCCCGGGGAGCCGCCCGCTCCTCTCTCACCTCCGGCCCCGCAGCCTTCGGCGCAGCAGCCCAGGCCGGTCCGCGGCCCCTCCCGCCCCGCACCCGCCGTGCCGCTCCTGCCCCGCAGCTGCTTTCGGTTTCGCTCCGGCGCCCACCCAGGGCTGCGGGTCGGGGCGCGGCCGGGCCGGGGGCCGGCGGGTGTGTAAGTGTCGCTGCCCGCCCGCCCCGCCGGCCCCGCGGGCAGGGGAGGACCCCGGGGGGTCCCCGCGAGCCCCGGTCCGACCCCGCTCCCCGGTGCCGCAGTCCCGGCCCTGGCCGCTGGGGGGCGCGGGGGGGGGCGGGGCCGCGCGGCGGTTCCGGCGATGGCGGCGGCGGTGGCGGCGCTGAGGCGGCTCGGGCCGCTGGCGCGGCGGGCACCGGGCAGGTACCGGCACCGGGCACCGCGGCTGCCCCGCGCCCGGCGGCGGTGCCGGTGGGGTCCCGTGGGGTGCCGGTGGCGTGTTCGTGAGCCCCGCGTGTCCCAGCCGCTCCCTGTCCCCGCAGGGTGCCGTGCCGCGGTCACCGGCTCACGCCGGCGGACGACGAGATGTACCAGCGGACGCGGGTGACGGTGCTGGAGCCCGAGTCCCCCAACATCATGTTCATCGAGGGCTACAGCAACCGCGGCTTCACCATCAGCGGGGACGTGGTGGTGGGGCCCTGCGCTGTCCTGCCCCGCAGCATCCTCCAGTGGAACGTGAGTGCCCGGCGGCGGGGCCGGTCCCCGCACCGCTCCGGGGCGGCCCCGCTCAGCAACCGTCGTGTCCCCGCAGGTTGGCTCGCACCGGGACATCTCGCTTGAGAGCCTGTCGCTGTTCCGGCTGCTGGAGCCCCACATCGGTACGTGGGGCAGGAGGGGCGCGGGCCGCCCCCACTCCGGGCTCCTGTCGGGACTGGTGGTCCCTGCAGGGAGGGCAGCTCTGGCCGAGGCAGCCCCAGTGCTGCCCTGCTCACCCTTGTCATGCCCTGGTTGCAGAGATCCTGGTGCTGGGCACGGGGGACAGGGTGGAGCGGCTCCACCCCGCCATGCTGAAGCAGATGCGGGAGTGTGGGATCGCGGTGGAGGTACAGGACACGGTAAGGAGGGGTGAGCACAGGCAGCACCCCAATGAAGAGGAGGGCAGTAGTCACTGTGAGACTCTCCTGGGGACGGGCAGGAGAGAGGGGTCATGTGTCCTGTGGGGAAGAGCTGCATCTCCTTCCTGAGTGCTGGAGCTTTACTCACTCCCTTTTCTGTTCACAGCCAAATGCATGTGCAACCTTCAACTTCCTGATGAGTGAAAAGCGTGTGGTGGCTGCTGGTCTCATCCCTCCACTGGGCATCTACCAGGGGATGTAGGCACTGCCTGCCACAGCCGTGGGCTGAGTGGGGCTGCCCCTGCCTGCCTGAAGCCCCCGAGGGTCACTGCTCCCAAGGGAGACACACTTCAGACTGTGGAGCTGCTGGCTGGGTGGTGGCTCTGCACACAGGAGGGCTGTGAGATGCATGGTCGTGTCCCACACCTTGGCAGCAAGAAGTCCTTGCCGCAAGACAGGGTGGAGGCTGTTGGGGTGAGCTGCACACCCCCCGGGCATATCTGGGGCTCCACGAGATAAATACATGTAAATGGGAAATACAAGGAATTGTGTGGTGGTTAATGCACAGCTCAGCGAGGCTGCAACATGCTAATGGGGCATGTGCTCACCCCGGGCACTGGGGAGAGTGTGTAGTGCCAGTGGTGCCACGTGCCAGCAGCTCCCTGACCACAGCCACCACTAGCAGCTGCTGCATCCCAGCTGGTGCCTGGGCTCTCCTGTGGGGCTTTGTGCCACCCCACAGTGCCAGTGCCCCTTGGGCAGCTTCAGGCTGCTGTTAGTCCAGGGGTGCTGCATCCCCACTTGTTGGATGCTCGGCTTAATCAGGGAACATGAAGAGGATCACTGTCCTCTCTGCACTGGAGGCAAAGATGTCAGGGATGTTCAGGTCAGGGACGTTACTGCTAAGGAAGAGGGTACATGTACCTAATGGCAGCTTTGTGCCCCAAACCTGCCATCTCCACAGAGCCAAGGCAGGGGGATGAGGCTGCAGGCCCAGCCCTGCATCAGGCACGAGGTAGCTTTGTTTAAAGAGTGCATTAGTGAGTCTGACACCTTGAGGTTGTAGTTCAAGGCTCTGGTTTTAGGATGTGTAAATCCAACAGGGCTGTCCCCTCCCTGTTCCCATTCACATGCACACAGTGTCCCTTCTGGGGTCACAAGCTGCTCCTGAGTCTGCTGGAAGCCGAGAGCCAAGGAAGGAGACCAAGAGATGTAATGAAGGAAGAGGGGCTCTGACCTGACACCAACTTCACATCTTTTCCTCTTTTATTGTAAAACATGGCAAACATGTGCAAGGCTCCAGCCCAGGATCACAGCTCCTGGGCAGTGGGTGGGCCCCACAGGTGGTCAAAAAGCAGCCAAGGGACAGCGGGAGCTCCAGGCAGCCCAGAGTAATGGCACTTCTGCAGCAAGAGCAGCTCCCGCACGGGGCGGCGCAGGGCTGAGTGGCACAAGGACAGACACAGATGGATCTCCTTCAGAAGAGGCGCTTCTCATACCTGTGAGGGGAGCAGCACGTCAGAGAGCCCTTTTGCTGACCCACCTCACCCAGGGCATGGACCAGAGGCACAGTTAGAAACAGCTCCTGCCAGCCCACAGTGGGGAACAGCCCCCACACCCTGACAGCTAAGAGAGGAGTGCTGGCCCAGGCCAGACGACAGGCTGTGGATCAGCTGGGCTGCACAGGGAACCAGCGGCACACCAAGCCAAAGGCACAGCAGCTGAGACACAGGATGGCTGTGCCTAAACTCCCCAAAAACTCCAGTGGGACACGGGTCCTGCCAAAAGCACTTACGAATGAAGGCCATGCACCCCTCCTTCCACCTGGGCAGACGTCGTCCTCTTCTCAAACTTCAGCTCTCCCGAGTACATCATGGCTCTGAGGAGGAAGGACAGCCGTCACAGGCCAGACACAGTCCAGGGAAGACAGTGCGCTGGCACATGCTCAGCTGGAGCAGCTGGAACAGGGGTCACTGGTTCCTCCAGCTGTGGCCAAAATGGTCTTTGCTGTGCTCTCAGGAGCGAGGCAGGGTAAGATAACCCCACCATTTCAAGCCTGGCCAGCCGAATGTGCCCCAAGAGACCACATTCCTGTACCCCTGGGGCTGGAAAATCCATGATGCAGTGCCCACTGCAGATGAGGGAAGAGGGCTACAGTGAAGTCAAACCACCCAGAATACAGCACAGTGTGGGTAGAGCTGCCTGGGGACTCCAGACAGCAGCACTGTGACCTGATCAGAGCATAGGCACAGGGAAGCACTCACCGGACTTGGGTCAGGCTCTTGGCACCAATATCCTGGCAGGAATGCTGGATCCCAGCTATCAGGTATGGAATGAATTTGTGGATAGAGCCCTTGTCTTGCACTGCACCAGAGACCCCCTGGGCCACTTTGATTTTGTCTGTCTCACTGCACGGGAGCACAAATCAAGGATGTTTGTGAAGCAGAGAAGCCCCAAAAGCTTGACCTGTTACCCCAAAGCACCTTTTCCACCATCTCTGACCTGAAATATCGGTTCTGGCTGCCCAAGTTCTTGTCCATGGCATCTAGCGAGCCCATGCCACGGTATTTCTTCAGCCTGATTCCATCCGAGAAGAAATACTCGCCTGGGGCCTCCGTGGTGGCAGCCAGGAGAGATCCCATCATCACTGGCACAAGAGATGACCAGGGACAGCATATCAGCAGCAGCGGCCACAACATCCTCAGGCCCTCTGGGCACAACACTGGCTGCACCCCCCATGGCCCCAGACACCTGCAGGTGAACACCCTGGTGCCCATATAGAAACGCTTCCTAGGAGACTCCCTGCAGTGGTGCTCACCTGTGGAGGCCCCGAGTGCCAGGGCCTTGGCGATGTGCCCGACCGTCTGGATGCCTCCGTCGGCGATGACGGGGACGCCGAACCTGCGGGCGTACTCGGACACCTTGTACACCGCGGTGGCCTGGGGGCGGCCACATGCCAGAACTGCAGAGAGAGCGGGCAGAGGGTCAGCAACACACACAGCCACGGCCCCTCCCCAGCAGGCCCTTCCAGGCTTCCAGCACACACATGCTCCAGCACTCAGAACGCACAAATCCCTGGACGCTCCTTTCCTAGTTGAGTTGCGAGAGATGCCCAGGAGGTGCCTGCTGGGACGTCCTCACAGCCCTCTATTCCAAAAAGCTGTGGGTGATCTTGGGACTGGGGTCTTTGACTGGATGCCTGGGATCAGCAGAGACTCATGAGTCATCCTGGTGCATGGCAGTCGTGAGGGGAGCTTGGGAAGGAAGCAAACTCCAAAAGCCCCTCTCCAGAGCATCCCTCACATTTAGCCATGTTCCACTGCTTGCTCCCTCCCAGTGGTGCCAGACCCCTTCTCCATGTACCCAGCAGCTGTATGATGTGCCTCTTGCATGGAAAGACAGCTGGCTGGGAGAGAGCTTGTATGTCTGTATATTCATATATATATATATATTTATATATATATATATATATATATATACACTGCATACACACACAAACACACATGCAGCAGTGGAGAAGGAAACAGGCAGAATGATTTGATAATAATTTATGTTCCTGCCCTGCAATGTAGCAAGGAGTTCGTCAAGTTTAGCTGCCCCATGAGGAAGGAGTTACTAGCTTTGGATTTGCTTGCTCTTCCCGGTTGGTTGCAGTTACAGGCTTCCTGTTATGTGAGGAAAACCAGCACACAGCATGTCTTGTAACACATTTGTCAGCCACAGGCATGCAAGAATGCTGAGATAAGCTTCTCTCAGGGAGACTTCACTTCCCCACAGTTAACTGGAAGCCTTTTCTCCAGTCACAGTTAGTCCCATACATGGGGTAAGATTAAGGCCATGCAGGATTAGTACTTTGGTGCGTGAACTCCAGGTGTGGTTCAGCCTGCCCGGCAGCAGCACTGGCAACACATCCCTGGCCTGCCCAGGCCGGGGGGCTGCAGATGCTCCACTCCCAGCACTCAGCAGCAGCTGAGGGAGGGAGGCCAGACTCCAGGTTGAGATCCTGAAAGAACTGAATTTAGTCAAACAGACCCCTGTGTTCAGCTCAGACTCAGCCAGCCAGGGAGAGGTTGCCAGCTTCATCACCAATGCCCTTAAAGAGATGGTCTCTCTCGGTGCTGCACTGCTGAAGGCCACACTGTGGCTGCAAAATGCTGCCACGGTAGAGCTGTGGAGAGAAACACCCGATTTCGGGAGGGTTCGAGTCCAGGGTCTATGAGACTGCGCCACTGACAGTGCAGGGCCTGCAGAAATCTTGCAAGAACAACCATGGAGACCAGCCCTTTAAGGCACAGCTCGGCTCAGGGCCCCTGGGAGCACGGCACCATTCCGACTGTCCCAGTGCCCAGCGCCACAGCCTTGGAGCGCAGGCTTCCCAGGTGGAGTTGGGAGCACACACATAACACACGATCAGGGTAAGGGTTTGTCTCTTTTAGTGTATTGGCAAAGGATGGCCCTACAAGATCATCTGCTAGAGAAAACCTTCCAGGATCTGCAACAGAAACCTTTCCCTTTCAGTGTGTCAGAACTAGGAGAAAGGACAAAGCCTAAGGCTTGGCTTGTTGGGGGCTGCTCGATCCAACAGCATCAGAGGAAAATGGAGCAGAGAATGCTTCACCCTGTGCTGGGCAGGCAAGAGCCCCTTCTCTCCACAGGAACTGGTGGGGAAAGCTGCTTTTCTAGTTGCAGCTGCCAAGGTGGCCACACACAGTGATATCCCTCCATCACCCAGGGGAGCCAGCTCCAAGGGAAGCTGGGCCAGTGCACAATTTCCCCACAACTAGGGCTACGTTTTAAGCATGATGGAGGACTGCTCAGGGATCGCCTCCCAGCACTGGATCAGCAGGAGCATGCCTGGCTAGGGATCTAGAAGGGTCAGGCAGAGAGCCCAGTCAGGCTCCTAACTGGATTTTAGAGTGGAGAGTGGACAAGCCTGAGTTCCCTTAGCTTGGACAGTTCAGACTCCGCTTTAGGAAATCAGAAAGGCTTCTCAGTTTTCATTTCAGATTCAAAACCAGTATCCAAAGCCACAAAACCCCAAGTGCATCTACAGCTAAATTATTCTCAAACAAGCAGTAGGGCCATGTGCAGCCAAATCAGGGTCCTGCTTCAAGACACATAATTAGGGTTGGGAACAGGGCAAGTGACTTACTATAGGTGCCCGTGACAGTAGAAGGGCATTTGGGGCTGTGGGACTTTAGGTCTGGAGGGATCTTTGGAGCAGCTAAACAAAAACAAACACACACATTTTAGAGACAGAAGAACAGCAGCAGAACAAAGGACCCCAGCAGTGACCCGTTACTGGGCAGAGCATACGGTGTGGGACAGAGCTGACTTTGCAGACCCTTCCTAGCCTGAGCCAAGCCAGAGGCCAGATCCAAGCCATCCAGGCCCGGCTGTGCACAGCGCATG